TTCATTACTGAAGAAGGATGTCAGGTTCATTTGGAATGAGGAGCACCAACAAGCATTTGAAGGAGTGAAGTTAGCTTTAATTTCCCCTCTCTCCATGACTCCTCCTCAGCCGGCAAGACCCTTACTCCTCTACATCACTTCTACGCCGAAATCAGTCGGAGCTCTGCTCGCCCAGGAAATTGACGGATTTGAACGTCCCGTGTACTACATAAGCAGAGTCATCCAAGGGGCTGAGATCCGATATTCCCCCATTGAACGGCACTGCCTCGCCCTAGTGTTTGCCGCCAAAAAGCTCCGCCATTACCTTCTTTCTTACCCCATCCATCTCATGACCAGAAGCGATCCTATCCGATTTCTCCTCACTAGACCAGCGCTCTCTGGCAGGCCAGCCCGTTGGCTCCTGTCTTTAGCGGAATATGACATCACTTGCAAAGCTCCCAAGGCCATCAAAAGTCAAGCGCTCGCTGAGCTCTTGGCTCACTTTCCCAGTGGAAAGCATGAGCCGCCCTCGGATGAATTGCCAGGAGATGAGTTCCAAGCGGCTGAAGTAAACACCGAAGGAGAATGGAGTTTGAGTTTCGATGGATCGTCCACCTCTAAAGGGGGAGGAGCTGGAGTAGTCCTTGTTTCCCCAAATCAAACTGAAGTCAATTTGTCATATAAACTGGATTTTAAATGCTCTAACAACGAGGTGGAATACGAAGCCCTGATATTGGGACTTATGGCAGCACTCCACCTAGGAGTAAGTCTCCTATGTATCAAAGCCGACTCTAATCTGGTGGTCAAGCAGACCAATGGAGACTATGCTATCAAAGAGCCCCCTTTGGCTTCATACAGAACCATTGTCCAAAGGTTGACAGACAAATTCGACACGGTAAGGATAGAACACACTCCTCGCTCCAACAATCAACACCCGGACGCCCTCGCCACCTTGGCCTCTAAGGTGGAATTCTCGGAAGAATCAACCAAGATAGAAGTCCTGAAACGCTCCGTGCCATGTTCAGTAACAACTATCTTCCCTGAAAAAGAACCCGCCGATTGGAGAGCCCCAATCATCGATGAGCTCCGTGCCCCCTTAGGTAAACTACCTTTGAGTGAGACCAAACACTTCACAATTTATCAAGGAGTCCTCTACTATAGAGGGCCCGGTGGTTTATTAGCACGATGCATTGACCTTATCGAAGCCAAGTCCAAATTAGAAGGAGTGCACAACCGCTCATGCGGGACAGGAGATGTAAGCCTCTACAGGAGGCTACAACGACAAGGATATTATTGGCCTACCATGGCCAAGGAAGCGAATGACCTTCAAGGGAAATGCACCAAATGTCAAGAATTCCCTCCAAAGGCTGAATGCAACTTCACAGAAATCACCTCCGACTGGCGTCAGGTATACATAGATTACCTCAAAGAAGAATCATTGCCACCAGAACGCTCTGCAGCCGCAACAATCAAGAAACGAGCTCCGAAATTCTTTTTGCAAGGAGAGCAACTTTTCAGGCATGGCTTCGATGGAAAGCCATTACGTTGCTTGTCAGGAGCTGAAATCCATAAAGTTTTGGAACTTACTCATGGATCAGAGCACCAAGGCGGAGCGAAACTGTTTCAACATCTTCTACATTTAGGGTATTATTGGCCTACCATGGAGGCAGATGCCAAAACGTATGCCAAACGCTGCAAGCCTTGCCAACTCCATGGAAACCTCATTCATGCACCCGCCACTGATTTACATAGTTCGAGCCCACCATGGCCTTTCCACACGTGGGCTATGGACCTCATTGGCCCCATCTCTCCGCCATCAAGGGGACACATATGGATTGTAACGGCTACAGAGACCTATACTAAATGGGTAGAAGCCATCCCTCTAAAAAAGGCAACAGGAGCTGCTGTCTCCAATTTCATCCGAGAATTCATCATATGTCGTTTCGGCATACCTAGAGTAATTCTTTCGGACAATGGGACCCCTTTTGTCAACCGCCAAGTCGGACAACTCCTTGTCTCCTATGACATCACACACCATAAATCAACTCCTTACTATCCCCAAGGGAATGGGCAAGCGGAAGCGACAAACAAAACACTCCTTAAAATCCTTTCACGGACTCTCAAGGATTATCAAAGGGATTGGGCGCACGTACTTCCAATGGCGCTCTGGGCTTACAGAACATCCAAAAGACGGCCGACTCAAATGACCCCATTCTCATTGGTATACGGCACAGAAGCAGTTCTTCCAGTGGAAATTGCCATACCCTCAACTCGCATGGCCCTCCGAAGTGAAGTTACTCCTGACTCTAGATCCTATGAATTGGAGATCCTTGATGAAAGAAGGGACAAGGCCCTGGCTAACCTCAAAGTTTACCAAAGTCGCATAGCTCGAGCTTATGATACCTTGGTGCGCCCCAGACAATTCCAAGAAGGTGACTTGGTACTTCGTGCTGCACCTCATGTCATGAGAGGAACCTCTACCCACAAGTTCACTCCTAAGTGGCAAGGACCTTACGTAGTAAGAGAGGCCAACGAGAATGGTTATTATAGAATTTCTGAACCAAACTCGCAAGCTCTCTTGAGCCCTATCAATGCCAAATGGCTAAAGGCCTATTTCCCTTAGGATAAGAGTGAAGAATCACCCTTGAGAAATTTACTCTTACTGATGTAATGGCATTGTAAAACATCAGCTCATGCTTATGTTAAATAAACAATCATTCGCTATCTCCATTCTCATTACGTTTCGTGTAACTACTAATAAATCATCAATCAAAAAAAAAAAATAAAGATTGAGAGAGAAAACAAAAATATATACAGTAAAGAAGAAGAAGAAGATTAAGAGAGAAAACAAAAATATATACTTGGGGTTTTAGCTCAACCAGTACAAGAAATTCCTCAACTTGTCTAAACTGGACCTATCTGGCTATCTAAGTCAAAAGCCTCATCTTCCACACTAATAAGCTGAGCCTCTACCACGGCTCTCCTCTCTCTCAAACTCGACATCGCCAAGTCCACATCCGCCAATGCCTTGGTCGCCCGCTCTAACTCCACCACAGCCTTCTCCCTAGAAGACGCCGATTCCACCAAAGCCCTGTCCATTTCCGCTAGCTCAAACTTGAGATGGCGATTCTTTACCTGCACTTCCATACGAGACAAACTCTCTCTCAGCCAGCTCACCTCAAACTCATGCCGCTGAAACTCAGCCACAGCAGTTTGAAATGACTGAAACGTATCAATAGAAGTCTCCGGAGTAAGACCATGAAACCCGCTGAGCATATCACAGAACGCCTCTAACAAATAGCGTCGTAAGAACATAGCCTCCAAACGCATGAAAGTGCTGGGTCTATGATCAAAAATAAAGCTCAATCTAGGCAAACATTCATCTCGCACGCCAGCAAACAGTACTTTGGAATCGAGGACTTGCTCCTTGCCATCAGCCCCTGCCAAGGATACGCAACCACTATCAAGACGGGTCACGGTAAACTCGCCATCCAAGAAAGGTAAACTCGTCTGACCGTTGGGAGCAATAGTATCATCATGGTCATAACTACCACTCTTACCAAGTGGCAGACTAGTAGTAACTCCCAACGAAGCAGGCAAAGTACCAGGCTGAACATCCACCAAATGAAGGCTAGTCTGAGCACCAGCTGAAGCCACAACTGAAGGCACACTAAGATGAGCATCGACCGACGAAAAACCACTACTCTCACCAAATAAAGATATGGTAGGGACTCCACCAGGAGGCAGGCGAGACTGAGCATCAGACAAAGGCAACTGACCAGTCGGGTCATCAACATCGGACTCCCCAAGCCTAACTGACTGTGCCACCGGATGTCCTAACTGCAATAGAGGAGGTGCAAAAGTCACTCTACTTTCACCACATGGCGCAACAACCTCAGATCTCATCCTATCAAGAGGAACATTTGCCCGCTCGGATGTAACTTTAACAACATCATCATCTCTCGCATTCAAATTGGCCTCTGAGCTATCCCCATCGTCACCTTCACTTTCGGAATCACTAAAACCTTTAGCATTACTTTGTTTCCGCAACCGCCGATGCGGAAGCAAATCATCATCAGAGTTCTCTTCCTCAGAAGGCACGCCCGCCACCCTAAGTGCCACAGAAACATCATGATGGGTAGCTGACCTTTGTACCTAAAGAAACGAAGCGCCCAACTTAGAAGCACATAAAGGAAACACAACAAGAAAGGAAGTCACTTAAATAAAAAAATAAAAAATAAAAAAAGAGAAGAAGCTAACCTTCATTCTCTGGGAAGGCTCCTTCTTAGGCTGGCTCGGGCGTCGTTTGGATATACCAACTTCCCCTAGAAAACTGTCTGTACCAACCACCCTTGCCTGAGTCAACACATCAGAGAGTAACTCCAAACGTGCAAATCGAGACAACTCGCCCCTAGCCAATTCAGTCCGGCCTTTCACGCGCGGTTGACACAGTTCGTTATCCGATGGAACGCATATAAACTCTAAGTCCCAAATATCACCCCCGAGAAACTCTTGAAAGGCGGCAAAAGTCTCCTTCCAATAATGTCGCCAACCAACTGTTACCCCTCCTACACGATCAACCCTCGTCCGAGTAAACTTGCTATACTTCTGGAGTCTCGGAAGATGAGTATGACAGAAAAACTGCTCAAAAGTATCAGACACAGGAAGGACTACGCTAGGACTAGGGACCCCCTGATCAAATCCAAATTGGCGAGCCACTCTCGCCGGATTATAGGATGTAGAGCCATAAGCTCCTCCTATAAAATAAGGCAAGGAACATGACAAGAAGCTACAAGCCGTCATTGTCTCCGCATTACTCAGTCGACCATCAAAAGCCACCTCAGAATCTCTCGAGTCATACATCCGAAACGGAACCACCCCAACCACAGGAGAAGCGTAGGGACGAGCTATAAACTCACTCTCATCATCAAGAATATCCATCAACGGCCCCCGAATGCGTGTCCCATACCACCTCGTAGCTCAGCGCTGTCGCCCCTCTCCAGGCTCAAAATCCGTGGGCCTAGGAGCAAGCCGGGGAAACCGTTCATACAAGAACATCTGTAAGAAGGAAGTCGATACAAAACTAATAACATCATACCGACCCTTCGACTTCTCTGCTCCAACCTGATACATATCAAGCCTTCTGTATAGAGTTCCCAAAAACAGTGGCCCAAGTGCAACCGAAAGACCACTCGCAAGATAAGCAGCAATATCAAACACAGACAGGTCTACTCCATCCTTGGGTGCTCCCTCTAAGATATACCGACTTAACCAATACGCAAGGAAAGCAGTAAGGTAGGTGGAACTATGCTTATACTTTTCATATCCAGGCCCATCTACCCCATTTTCTTCTATGTCGGTTCCTTCTGCCGGAGATGGATTCAAATCTCGATACCAATATCGCAGCCATCCCCCAAAGGTATTCTTACAATGCTCCCGACACTGCGGCCCAAGATACACCCCTCCTTTATCATAGCCGCTCAATAAGAATCCTGCCTCTGAAATTGAGGCTTTCAAAATCGATACAATCTTTAGATGACTCGGAACAGATGTCATTAGCTCACCAATTTTATAGCTCCTCCGTTATGTTTAGATCTCATTTTCAATCCTTATAAATTTTTCTCTAAGTGTCAGAGTTTAGAGCCTTATGTGATAGCTCACCAATTTCATAGCTCTCCATGTCATTAGCTCACCAATCTTATAGCTCCTCCGTTATGTTTAGAGCTCATTTTCAATCCTTATAAATTTTTCTAAGTGTTAGAGTTAGAGCCACATGCGATAGCTCACCAATTTCATAGCGCTCCATGTCATAGCTCACCAATTTCATGGCTCACCAATATTTTATTATTATTTCATAGCTCACCAATATTTTATTATTATTTTCTTAGATCACCAATTGCATGGCTCACCAATATTTTATTAATTTTTGTTAGAGTTACAACAGATGTATTAGCAAGTGGATCTGCAACACCAAGTATAGGCAAACCAGTCAATGCGCAGACATCCTCCAACGTAGGTGTTAATTCCCCCCACCGAGTGACAAAGGTGTGAGAACTAGAACTCCAACGGGAAAAAGCCACACTCAACCATGACGGCTCCCTTCTAACATTCAACCTCACACTTGCCACTATAGCACCATACACACCTGCATTCTTTAAAACCTCTTTAGAAGAAGGATTAGTCAGCACTTCCTCAGCCCAAGTATCGAAACCCCCACCATTCTTGGTAAAAGCATAGCTGTCATGAGCGGGGAATGCATACGGGTAGAGGCCGCGCTCTATGTGTAACCGCAAAATAGATTCTGGAGCTATCATCCCCTCTGCCCCTTCTTCTGCCTCGGGTACCCCCAACAAAACTTGAGATCGATTAACAGTCCTTGTATCCTCCAATTGTTGCCAGAATCTGTCCCCGACTCCAAAATAAGGAGCACGAAACCAGTGCTCGACAGAAGGCACCTCAGCAGCCTCTTCCCCACTTGCTTTGCTTGGCAACTTTTTGGTCACTTTCTTCGACGAACATACAACGGCTTTCCGCTTCATTTTGAGCAAACAATTCCTACCTGCATCACCCCAAATTGCAACAAGTAAGTTTTGCACTCATGAATCACACCTATACTTTAAAAATATATATATATATATATATAATAATTAATTAATTAATTAATTACTCAACTAAATAAATAAAAATAATAGTTATTTATTTGCCTATTAATAAATAAGAATAACTCTTCTAATTTTTAGCGCTCGGACTTCACTTCATGCTCTCTCAAATCCCTGAAACCAGTTCTCTAATCTTATTAGCTCTCCATGTCATTAGCTCACCAATTTTATAGCTCCTCCATTATGTTTAGAGCCCATTCTCAATCCTTATAAATTTTTCTAAGTGTCAGAATTTAGAGCCACATGTGATACATGCGATAGCTCACCAATTTCATAGCTCTCCATGTCATTAGCTCACCAATTTTATAGCTCCTCCATTATGCTTAGAGCCCATTCGCAATCCTTATAAATTTTTCTAAGTGTCAGAGTTTAGAGCCATATGTGATAGCTCACCAATTTCATAGCTCTCCATGTCATTAGCTCACCAATCTTATAGCTCCTCCGTTATGTTCAGAGCTCATTTTCAATCCTTATAAATTTTTCTAAGTGTTAGAGTTAGAGCCACATGCGATAGCTCACCAATTTCATAGCGCTCCATGTCATAGCTCACCAATTTCATGGCTCACCAATATTTTATTATTATTGTTTTAGCTCACCAAATGTGATAGCTCACCAATTTTATAGCTCCTCCGTTATGTTTAGAGCTCATTTTCAATCCTTATAAATTTTTCTAAGTGTTAGAGTTAGAGCCACATGCGATAGCTCACCAATTTCATAGCTCTCCATGTCATTAGCTCACCAATTTTATAGCTCCTCCGTTATGTTTAGAGCTCATTTTCAATCCTTATAAATTTTTCTAAGTGTCAGAGTTTAGAGCCATATGTGATAGCTCACCAATTTCACAGCTCTCCATGTCATTAGCTCACCAATCTTATAGCTCCTCCGTTATGTTTAGAGCTCATTTTCAATCCTTATAAATTTTTCTAAGTGTCAGAGTTTAGAGCCATATGTGATAGCTCACCAATTTCGTTGCTCACCATGTCATTAGCTCACCAATTTTATAGCTCCTCCGTTATGTTTAGAGCTCATTTTCAATCCTTATAAATTTTTCTAAGTGTCAGAGTTTAGAGCCATATGTGATAGCTCACCAATTTCGTTGCTCACCATGTCATTAGCTCACCAATTTTATAGCTCCTCCGTTATGTTTAGAGCTCATTTTCAATCCTTATAAATTTTTCTAAGTGTTAGAGTTAGAGCCACATGCGATAGCTCACCAATTTCATAGCGCTCCATGTCATAGCTCACCAATTTCATGGCTCACCAATATTTTATTATTATTTGTAGAATTCTCCAAGTCCATGACTCTTCATGTGATAGCTCACCATTGTGTGATAGCTCACCATTGTTGTAGATCACCAATATTTTATTATTATTTCATAAGCTCACCAAATGTGATAGCTCACCAATATTTTATTAATTTTTGTAGAATTCTCCAAGTCCATGACTCTTCATGTGATAGCTCACCATTGTGTGATAGCTCACCATTGTTGTAGATCACCAATATTTTATTATTATTTCATAGCAGAGATGATCGTAATACCAAACTGATCCCGCAGGCCTGATGTCGACAATATAACTGATGCGAGGCCTGATACTGTCAATACTGACCGTAGCCCGTAGGCTGATACTCAAACCATATACTGATCTTGATCCCGCAGGGCCTGATACTGACAATTCTGAACCTGAAGCCCGCAGGCCTGTATGCCCAACTCATATACGTACATGCATTCCTGTAGAGACGCACTCTAAAGCCATAACAGATAAGTGAGAGCCCAAAAACCCCTATGTTGGGGTAGGGTTTCCCTGTCCCTTTTTGTCTAGGAGCTAAGGGTTTCACCTACGCACGCATGTTTCAAACAAACCTATAAACGGGTAAAGCAACCTGTCTCACATTGGAATAGTCACTAATGGATCCCGAATATGCACTTAGCGAATGGTCAAAGAGGGTTGCCCCGGTAAAACGGGGTTGTGTTGCCATACTGGCGTGAGCCCACAACCGGTCAGCCTTTATGGCATGCTTTGGACAATGACAAAGCCTCCGGCAAACCGTTCAGGAATAGCCAGATGAAACACGGTGTTCCTAGGCGCACCAATGGCAATGCAATGCAAGAAACACAACAAGTTGTATGTCAAAAAACAGATATCATGGGTTCGAATCAAGTTCTCTAAAATCCCCAGCAGGTCGCCAGAAAACTGTAAACAAGCCCGCGGGGGCCTCGGCTACAGCTCGGACATCGACTTTTCGATAGTCACGGTTCTAATCTGAACCAAAGAGTCACCCAATCCGGCAAATCGTTTTAGGAAACTGATTTTTTAAAAGAAGTGCCAAACATGGACGCTTTGCCAGATACCAGAGTCCGCCACCATAAATATTTTTAATTTTTGGGAAATTTAGGAAACCCTGAACTCGGTGCCAAAAGGCCACGTGTCCGTCATCACTCAAAGTGCCTCGCGCTCGGGAACTGGTAACGATTGGGGAAAGGTTCACTTCGTGAGGCACCCCGCTCGCCCGGTCATAGACCCCAGCCTTCTACTAACCCATGATATTCAATTTTTGAAAAACATTGCGAGTTCTTATTCCGTTCATTAGGCCTAGGTTACTATGTGATGCGCACAGCATACAAAATAGACGGGTCGCCTGAATTGGAACGAAAACAATTTCATGTTTGTTTGAAAATGGTTTGCTACCCGCAGGTAGGCTTGAAAATTTGATGATTATTCAATTAAGTAAACCCACCTTCACCCACAGCATTGAGGCAGTTTATAGTTCACTAAGCACATAGCCTCATGGGTAAGCATGCTATTCATGGCAAACTCACACGCATGCAAGGATTGCTAAAGCATAAAACTCACAGAGTACTCCGAGCCAAAATAGAAACTATATTAGACATCATTGCATATCCTAAGTATTACAGAAATGCCTAATGCAACACATGCAAAAATGCAACTAATAGTAGGCTTGGCTGTTCTAAAAGATTGGTATATGAAAATGCTACAAACTAACATGTATTCAATTTGGAATTGAAAGTAACGAGCAGTTAGTTATGGTGCGCCGAGCCGGGGTGCATGCAATACAAATGAATGATGCAAAACATTGCTGTCATACACGTATGCTAATTTAAATATGCCTAAGTCTAACCATCATAAGGGATAAAATAAAAGGGAGAAAGACGTGAGGTGGAAGGACATACAGCAACACACACGCACACTTATTACAGTTGTGCCCTTACTCGGAGGGTCCGCGATAAATATACAGTCCAATATATTACAGTCCCGAATAAAAGAATATTACA